CCAATTTGTATTTACTGTTTGAGGAGGCCTGAAGAGGGTGATGTCAATATTTGTGGGATTGGTTGTCTTCCATGAGGACCTTCACACATTCATACTTGAACATGTGCTGATACAGAACTGTGGTCTAGGTAAAAGAAGCGGTATTGGTATTAATATCAGTGATACTGGTCCTGTATTTACTTGGTGCCAGATTGATACCATAAATTGGAGTATCACACATCTGTACTGTGTGCACCATCAGGGAGATACTGCTAGACACACGGTGTATGAACAAAACAATGGTCAGATCATGAATAGAACAAACAACAGCAAAGATACACATCTCTAAATAATAAAAACAGCATCGGTAAGATATTTTGGTGATGATTCAGTGCATCCTTTTCTTGTAATGGTTTTGTTTTTCTCCTCTCTTGAGCAGATCACTTATAAACCATCACATTACCAGGATTGGCCAGAGCTACAGCATTCTGCTAATGAAAATAAAACCTGGTCTACAGGTCCTTCCTGCTGGGACCCTTAGTAATGGATTGAGACAAAAAGAACAAAATCTGTTTTGGGTACTTAAATGTTTTTGTCAGTAATTGCATTTGTAGATTTTAGTTTTGCTAAATTACAATTCAATTAGCTTATTAGTTTGGGTAAATCCAATGAAATTGAAACAACTTCTCTTTTAGTTTTTTTTTTAAAATGATTATTCTCTTTAAGAAATGCCATTATGTGAGGTTCATTTCAGCCTGAATCAACCTATTTAAATTCATGATTCAAGAAGAATGCCCTCCCAGCAGGTTTAGTTGGAGTATATTGGGACTGTTATTTGTTTCTCAGCAGAGCAATGAGCCGGGATGCAGCTCCAGGCTCTGTTTAGGCTGCTTGATCAACAGTCAGACTGATGGAGTACTGCTTCACATAATCTGCTCTCCGAAATGACCAAATCCAACTGAGATGCCTTGGCGGGAGCTTCAACGTCTGAGAAGTAAGGAGCCAATAAATGCTCACTATATGTGACAAGTCGACTTTGGGAAAGTCGTAAAGTCCGAAACCCAAAAGAGCAGACACAAATGAACTGTAGCAGTTTTACAGTTAATTTAGATCATCAGACACATTTTCATAGCAGACAAAAATGCATATTTTCAATAATGATTTCATTTAAGGGGAGAAAACTATCTGAAACTCTTGGCTTATATGAAAAAGTGCATTTGAAATATTTGAACTAGTAAACTGTTGTTGACCACATTTCTTTTTTCATTTTCACTGGCCACATCTCTTCGCTTCATCTGAGGAATCAATATTAGATTTTAACAGTGCATGTCTGACAACATGAAGTAGGCTTAAAGATATCAAAAAGCAACGAGTCATGCTCAAATTGAAGTAATTTCAAGAACAGAAACCTACACAATGTTTCTGGAAATCATTGCTCAGGTTTTGAAGCTAGGAACCCCGGGTGAAAGCCTGAATTTTCTCTAAAGCAAAGACTCATCAGGAGGTCACAGAGGGGTCCACAGAAACATCTAAAGCACCGCTGGCCAGACATGTCCAAGTTAATGTCAAAGATTAAACAACTGTTGACCAATATGAACTCAAAGCGCTCACATGTGGAGAAAAAATAGACTTTATTACTAATGTTCTGACAGTCAGACATGGTACTGGTAAACAGCAATCTTCTGATGCCTTACAATCTTATTTTTCTGAGATGTGCGGTCCATGCTAGGTTTCAACCAGTACTTCCTGTTTATTATAAACATAATGTCAACATGTGACAAAATTATGCTTTGTGTGGCCTGATTGATTTTCTTCAACCCAGTAGATGGAAACATACCTAATTTTCATTTTCTTTTTTTCAGTTTTTGCCAACATTTTATCAGTTTGCTCAAAATTTGAATGGCAATCGAATTGAAACATTGATAGTCAATTCTGCTCTGCATTAGAAAATATTACTCTCCCAGTTGCTTAAAGGCACTTTGGCTTAACCTCAACCCTAATGATTCTAAGCACACCACCCAGTTCACCTCAAAATGACTGGAAGAAATCCACTTGAAGGTTTTGGTTTCATATCATCATCAAGCCTGCTGACATGATACAGCCTGATTCTGAACAGGCTGGAGTTACAGAGATGTAACAAACTGATTAGCAGTTCCAGAAAACTGAACATGACAGTAACCAGTTATTAGGTTGATGATCTGAAATGTTGAATGTTAAAAAGTCTATAAAGAGATTACTTTTTCATAGCACTATAGCTTTATAGCTTTCTCCCAGCAGCTCATAAAGACATGTTTATAGATTGCAATTATAGTGAAAGTGTATTTGTGTACACAAGACTTACTTGTTCTTGCATGTTGATCTGCGAATTCATAATGGCACATCCCTAATTAATCATTTACACATGAAATCACTGTTTACACCACAGCTAAGCAGACATTTTCCGCAAAAAAAAATACTGCAGAACATTTGCACAAAAAAAGTGCAATTATGCCAGAGGGGAAAATGAGACGCTGACAAGGAAAACTGTTTCATTTGGTGTCAGTTCTAGAGCGAGGAGTCAAATAAAACAGCATTGAAACACTCAGAGCAGTTGGGAACAAAACAGTCTTAAAAAGGAAAAGAAGAACTGCGAACTAGTTAGGATGCAAAAGAGAGGCAAACCTCTGTATCGAAAGGATCAAGGCTGCTGTGGAATCCAGTTTGTTCACATCCAGATCAAAAACCTTTGAAGGTGAATAAGGTAAGAATGAATTAATTTAAATAACATTTCTCTCTTTTAATATCTTACTATTAGGGGGGATGATTCATTAATAATATTCTACCTAAAGTCATTAATTGGCAACTTAAGTATTAATTAGATGGCTGCACCATGATGCAATACTGTTGTCTAGCATCAAGAAGGTCCTGGGTTCAAATCCCAGCCTTTGGTTTTCTGCATGGAGCTTACATGTTCTCCCTGTCGCAGTTTGCATTGATAATGTAACTCTCAAAATACAGAAATCTGTGCACATGATCCCCCAGCATCTCTATGGGCTGAGTTTGGACTTTGAATGAACTGTTGGTACCGTTGGTCTGAATGTACCATTGCTAAACAGAACCCATTCATTGTGCAAATGTTCTGCAGTTTTTTGAAGTTTTATTAAGCCAAAGGATTCTTTTCTCAGACATTTGATAGTTGATGAGATCTGTCAGATATATTCTTTTCAGAGGAGCGGTGACAGGACTTTTGGTATTGTTGATTACATCTCAACATAGAGTCAGTCTGGGGGCTCAGTTAGGGGTTCAACTACCTTTGTTGTTGTGTAGCTTACCACCAATAATGAGTGAATGTGTGAATGAATGTAGGGTGAAGTGTTGTGGAGTCCTCTGATTTGATAAAATGTCATACAAGAGCAGGTCATATGCATGTGAAAGGTACAAATATTTTCTTTCTTATGAATAAAAAAAAAAATAGATAAACATCTAATGTCATTAATATGTACATGTTACAAATGATCTTTTTGTGCAAATCTTTGAGATATCTGTACAGCCCTTCTCATTTATAATTTTGCCTTATGTGTAAGAATATCACTGAAGGGTTCAATTGACAAACTTCAACATGAAAGAGTCAAATTCATATTTATACTTTTTTGTATGTGTTTAGCTTCAGAATTATCTCAGAAGTGGTGAGTGAGTCCCCCTGCCCATTTTTAAAAGGCAAACTTTGAGCTTTGAGTATCTATCACTTATTCAGTATTACTGTTGGTTATTGACAGCACAATAACAGCTAAAAGGGCAAAAGGAAAAGAAAAAAGATATTAAAAAAATACTTAAACCAAATCTCATCTGCACAAACTCATTGGTAAAAACAATATTTTAAAAACTTTACAAACATAGACTAAATGAACCAAGCAAACTTCTAGACTTTTCAGCTAGTTTATGGTAAGCTATGTAAACTCACAATGTTCAGGTGGTAAACTATGAACATGAATGAATTCACTCCAATCTGAACACATTGAATAGAAAAGCTCTTGTTAAGAATGATGTGACACAGACCAAACGTTGGTCTGTGTTTCTTCTTGTCATTTTTTGTGATAACCTTTCTTAGTGAAGCTTATTTTTCTAAGTGTCACCCAACCAGTATACATTTGGAAACAGTAGTTTAATAAGAAGATGAAACCTTTCCTACACAGTGACTCTATGATTCGTTGTGGCACATGGTTTACTAGTGATTGCAAAAGTGTCTGACCTCTAGATTCAATATGACGGTCTTGGTGTAGATACAGCTAAGTGACAGCTGAGTTAAAAACTGCTTTTCTTTTGTTATAGTTTGTATGTAGAAATTAGCTCATCACTGATTTTACACCATTTTGTGGAGAGACAGATCAGCGTTTCTTCTGGCATCATGGTGTGGGAAGCTTCAGAGTAAGACTTCAGTTCATCAGGGATTAGGATTCTGGGGAACGGATGGTCTCATGTCGGAGTTATGTCTTACCTCCTCTAGGGTGTCACCCGGATACAGTCCTCCTAGCAAGATAAAATCACTTCCACGTCATCATCTTGAGGTCCTCCCTCATTCATCTAGCCCTCTTCAATCAAACAGGAGTGAACATGGTGATCACTCAACCCTGATCATGTGGATCTGATGGGTCACTTCCACCAGTTATGGGCTGACGCATGCTAGCAATCCCAGCATGTGTTCAGTCCCAAGGGGGTTCCTCACCATACGGCGATATAATGAGCCGCGTTCTCACATTGGCAGCTGTTATTAGCTTAGTAACTACGGTGATGATTGCAGTCCCATGAACCGTGCAATCACTTTTATTTCGAATTCTACATCTGCATGCCTAACTTATTTTGTGAGTATTTTGAAATACTGTTTGAGTTGCTCTTTCTCTCAATGCGCTCAGGGTTTCCATCCTCCGTCTATAGATTTGTTGACTGAGTCGGAAAGCGGGACTTGTTGGTTCAGCACCGTCAGCAGCCTCCTCCAGCCTATTTACTGCATCGCCGAGTGTGCAAACAGACGGGATCCCTCAGTGTTTGAATTTCATCTGTGAAAATGATTTATTTAAATATTATTCTGATACTGTCATTATAATACAAACGGTTGCAATGTTTCATTACAGAAGCCTCACACAATACTAAAGAAAAAGAGAACCAGAGTTCTGTGGAGTTCTGACAGCTTAACAGACAGACAGGACCGCATCAAAGATGGAAATACATTATTAGAAGAAACAAACACATTTAGAGTGGATGAAGAGCGTAGCTTCCTGAAACAGAACAGAAGGATTGTTGAGCGATGTGTCTGAGAGAACATCCCTGGAACAAGGATCTGCCGCCGGAGCGTGAACTGGTAGAGACTGAAAAGTTAATCCACTTTTGCAGTAATGATACAATTTCAGTCAAAGCTCCAGTCTCTCCTTCTATATCATTCAATGTTAAGTGGGGGGAGGAACCATCAAGCTAATCCTCCTACTTTGGGATAGAACCATGGACATGTTTTTGATATATCTATTTATATACACATGGATTTAGCATCTTCTTTTTCTTCAAAAACACATCTTATGCAAGTTCATTTTCAAGAAATGGAAGATCCACTTCAGACTTCTTAACACGTGGATATGAATACATGGTACTATTGTTACAAATACAGCACATCACTGGCCTCTGCCTTTTCAAATGGCTCTGAAGAAACCCCAACAGAAAATGAAACGTTAACATGCTACTTAATTCATTTACAATTTACACAGATCTGTAACATTTTTTTGTTAGTCTTTTTACACGGCGGTTTGGGCAAGCCGCCCAATCGGACTGCGCACACTCTCCGAAAGCATTCAGACAAACTTTCAGTGGAATCAGCATCACGATCCCATTCTCAGCTCTTGAAAATAAATTGCCCTCCTATTAGTATTAGAATTTTTTTCTTCTTGCAAAATAAACTTTCTGAACTATATTATATAACAGGTCTCATTTAAAAACAATCAGTCCCCCAGTCACGGCGAAATGACGAAAATGAGACAGTGATGATAGATTAGGGGTCCAAAAGCGCCCTGCGGCGGTTTGAAATTAGAGGGATTAGAGGGGGCTGACCCTTCCCGCCCTGCGCAGAGCAGCGCAGTGTGGTGCGGCATGGTGCGCCGTGTCTTGCTGGAACATCTTGGGGTCTTGGGAAGCAAGTTGTGCTCCATCAGCCTGTGGACCTCGCTGCTGAATCAACAAGTTCCCCCTAAACTGTTCTTTGGCAACGTGATAAACTATACAAGAGAGGGGATTCGGCTTTGTTTGTAAAGTGAAACACGAGTTTAAAGTGAGGTTTTGCATTTCAAGAACACAGGACAGGGATTATTGCACGTTGAGTTGTTTTGTTGCCTATGAGTTCTTAGCTAATGCCATACCACAAATATAGGGTTACATATCCATGCTTATTTTGTGTGGCCACTTCATAGTTTGGGGTTTTGAATAAGCGAAAAAAGATGTGCTATTGATCAGCATGTATTTTTAAAAACTGCTGTTTTCATTGTTGGGATAACTGTGGCTCTATGGCAACACGGTACTCATGGAGGATAACTTTCACATATCTGCTGCTCAGCCATTCATGGAGGTTTCTGTTTGAATTAGAATCTGATTTTTTGCTGCTCAAAAGTCAACAATAACAGATTCACTTTAGTTTCTGGATCATGTCGAAGATCTTGAAATTACTGCAAAAGCCAGCCGCTGCTCTTCCAGCTTGCGTGTCAGATTGTCAAAGCGTTTCATTCATAAATCCTTGGTGCACATTAAAAATATCCTGGGACACAAGCTTTATGTAAAGCTGTGAAAATATAATAGTGTGAAATCAAAGAGAAGACATTTCAACAAAACCAACACTGTTCTCTTGAAGGTCGTCGTGTATAATTCTCTTATCTCATCACAGTTTTGCTTACATACTTGTGAGAAATGTACAAATACAGCAAATCCAAAAACTCAACACACCCTTATTACAGTGCCTGTTAGTGGTATAGAAGATGAAGTTTTCCACATTCATCCATCAATTGTCCTCCTGACTTCCCTGCCAAAGATTAATGTTCGATTAGGTTACATGCATGAACCACCAACAGCTCAATTCCAACTTTTTTGCACGAACGTTCTTCCTACTGACTGAGGCCATCGTGATTGGTCTTCTGTGTGAATGGTTGACGACCCCAAAGGACCTGAATGCCCAGGAGAAAAATCTCGACATCACATCTGTTTACTAAGCTAACGATGCACACCGCTGCCTACTGATGGATTTTATAGTTTATTCAGCAATTGTCGCAAGACGAAGGTAGCTAACAAAATAAATCCCAGCTAACAGCAATGCCCATTAGTGGAGCATTAATAGCAACTTTTCTCCTTCTAGCACTAGACATGTATGTTGATTTTGGTTGTATTTAGTCCACTTCCTGCTTTTGGAGCAGTCTCTGGTCTGCCTGGTGTTCAGATATTCCTTCAAACCGCACCAGACCTCACTTCAACTCAACTGAGACCGAGGTTATTCAGTGTACCAGAGTTAACTTTTTTTAGTCCTCATGAGTGTTTGATTACACATCTACACCTCCACAAACAAACCAGACTTTCTAGGCAAACGTATTGCAGTTTGACAAAGCGGACTAAACAGGGTGGTGTGAATGCACCACAGTGTAAGTATTATATTGTGGAATACATCATGGTGTTTCTCCTGCCCAATTTCATTTCTTTGATTGTTTACAGTCTGCTAATGATGGCTGTTGGTTTTGCAGTTAGATCCTGTAGAATGTGTCCCATTTAACATGGAACAACACTTCTATGTGTTTCATGATTTACCTTGATTCCATTATACAACATTAGGGATACCTGGCATTTAAATAAGGGTGTGTTCAGGGTTTAGATGCTCCGTGTTTCTGTGTTGGCATTCCTGATATACATTTCATTAAATCCCTCATTAGTGATTACCCACTGAAATATTTCAGAGAAGATTAATGCAGATCAGAATCAATCATCCAGTTGTCGCATATCAGGATTTACAATAACTCATAAATAGTGACTTTTTTTTTTTTTTATTCCTACTAAGGGTGCATTACAAATTAAAATGACAAGGGGACATTATTTTCACACCAAAGCTAGCACAGAAAAAAGAAACTGCAATTCAAAACATTGGAACATTAAACTCCAAATGTCAGTTCATGTAGGTCAGATATTTTCCTCATCTTCAAAACCCCCAGATCAAGCATGCACTTCTGAAGATGAATCACCAACAGGATGTAAAATTATGCACATTTCAAATTTGGATGGATAATACGGCTGAAAGAAAAATGAAAAGAATGACCCTTTTAACTTAAAGGTTAACATCAATTGTCTAATTTAACACAGACATGTATTAGATTTATCTCATCTGGAGAAGGCTAGAGTGCCTATTCACAATGATCAATGGCCAATATCAGCAGCATCTATGTATACAGCACATACATTAGTTCTATGTGTTTCAAATAAAACAGACATATATCTAGGATCATATATACTACACAAATATAGATTCTTCGATTTTCTCGTTTACTTTTGAGCAATGAACACAGAAACGTCAACAGTGAAACTTTAAGAAAGTCATTCTTCCATGAGAGTTATCCAACAAGACAGAGTCCGGGTGTTAGGCAGCGTCTCTGCTGGCGTCGACCAGGCGTCTGTAGAAAAGGTGCCCCTTCTGCTGCCATTGTGACTGGTGTTTATAGTGGCTAGTAATAATGTGCTAAGTGCAAGAGCAGAAGTGGCGGGAAAATGAGGAGCAAACTGTGCTGTCCGCATGGTGGAGTTCAGGTTGTGGTCAGTGGGTGGCGAAGGGAGTAAAACAGGCAATTTTCTTTTTTTCTTTTCTTTTGATCCTCTGTTTGCTTCTAAAGCACACAGTTGGGCCAACATCTGAGAGCAAATCACAACTGTTCTTTAAATTATAACAAGGCATCCTTCACCAGCCCACACGCCAGAAGCAGGACAGCAAGTCCAGAGCTGGACAATATTCTTGTACCTGGAAAGAGACGAACAGAGGACAGAGGAAATCAGTCACTGTGAGGTTAAGCAGCAGCTAAAAAAAACCCTGTATTTTTATAAATAAGGATTTTGGAATAAATATTGTTGAAATTGTTGCTCTAGTAAAAAAGTAAACATTACTTTAGAAACCATGTCTTCATTTCATGCATATTTCTCAGCTATGTGCTGTTACTTTAAACAACATGGCTCATTTAAAACTCCTTGGATCTGTTGCTTCATATATTCTGGAGCTGTTTGTTGAGACATTTGCCGCAAGACAGCCAACATGATCGGCATGTTTTTAATGAGTGTGCCTTTAAATATATGAAAGAAATAAGTAGGACTTTCTGGTCCCACACTCGATGGTTGGGATTTTACCCAGATAACTGTATGTGTTAATAGGTAGTGTTCATCAGATGTCACATGTGCTGTTTAATCCAGGGTTCAATCCTGGATTAAATATCTACATGTTATTTAATCCATTTAATATCTACATGTTCCCACTAGCTCAAGTTATAGCAAGAAATAAGATTAGTTACAACACACAATACACTTCTATACATTACAAAGTAACTCTGAACCCAGCCAATCACTGAACAGATGCTTAGATCGGGTAAATTTGTGGTTGTGCCACAACTTTTTCCAGTTAAACAGAAACAAAACCGAAGTAATCTTTGGAATTATCTAGAGTAGGGCTGAAATGATTTCTCGAATGATTCAAGTACCTCGTTATTAAAATTCCTTGAGGAAACTTTATCTGCCTCAAAGCTTTGTTAAATTATGTTTTATTATGTAGCGCACTGTGTTACGCCGAGATCATTATTTGTGGTGGGCAGCGCTCTTACTTCCATCTATGAGTTGTTGTGAAATGCCAGCAGGATGGTGTTGCATTGTGTGGCGTATTGTCAAGGCTTATTCAACAAATAAGGATTGTTGAACTTTGCGGTGAACAAACTTCCAAATAACTGCAAAACAGTTTAAATTCAAGGCTAAAAAACACATTTGTTTGGAGTTGCCTTCAATCATGATATCTGCATGAACATCATTCTTTCCAGCTTCTCATTGCATTGCTTTATTTTGCCACTGTTTTGTTTGTTGCATTATGTTTTTATCATGTAAAAACATTTTGAGCTGCCTGGTTGTTCAAATTGCCTATGCTCTACAAATAAATGTGTCTTGCCTCACATCTTTCAGGGAATAACCTGCTAGATGTTTTAAAACAACCATGTATCAATCATGAGGAGGCCTAATTGTCTATGTTCTGTTATCTGCATGAGTAAAACCACCAAAACCAGTTCCAGCCCACATCCTTTCAAACTCTTCATCCATTTATCAAACCTCTTTTTATTCAACCCTCCTGTGATGTTCGTTCCTGAGGTACAGCAATAATGTTCATGGGTCAATTTGACCTGGAACATGTTTAATCATGATAGTATCAAAAAACAATAAATTCCTCCAAAACATTAGATGAATGTTATGGGTGAATGTGCACCCTGGCTGCTCTTCAGTTGAGAATCTTGCTCCTCATGGTAAAAAGTTGATGAAATGTATAGAAAATGGTCATAAAAATGTAGATTTTTCTTCTCTCTGACTTAATTTTACAGCTTCATCCTACATTATATTCCCCAGGACGACACCTGAAGCTACATAATACTCAATCCAAATGTTCTGCACCATCCTGTTCTTTTGGTTATGTGAGAATATCCTCAACATAAAAACTGGTGAATAATTGATGCTTTTCGCTGTTTCACCAACAGACTGGTGCTGCGTTGTGTGTCATTCTTCTCTGCATTCAGATTTTACATTAAACTCCAGTCATTTCTAAAGATGTTGGAAAAACAACACAAGCAGGTAGTCATGGTAACATATGATTTTCTACTTTGATACAATGATTACCTCTCAAGTACTTCACTGCTTTCTAGGGAGGTGACAAAACACCAGAGAAGTTCTTTCATTTTTACAAATAGAGTGAAATTCTCAAAAGTTTTAAACAGTATTTACAAGAATCTTTAATCTGAGTTGAATTGTTTAGTCCAGGTATGATTTGTCTATACCCTGCAACTTTCATGCTGGTCTCATTCATAGAAGGTCCTAATGCTAAAATATTTAAAAGCATTTTATATGTGTTTCCACTGGTAAATGTTTCTAATGTGTAATTATGTATTACACTGTTTTTTAAGCATCCATGGCGAACTATGCAAACTACATTACACCAATAAAACCATGAAAGTATTTTTCTAGAAACCTGTGAGCCATCTGTTTCGGCTCCTTCTAATTTTTTCATTAAAAACTTTTTCACATAATAGATGAGAAGATGTACCATTGGTACTCAGGAATTCTCCAAGTTGAAATTAACAAAGAGTGAGTGAACATTTAATATTTAATGTGTGTAATGACTGCAGCAGCACAAGGTCCAAGGGTCAGCCATCCTGGGTCTGTTCCACTTGACTTGATTAAAATGGCTGTTAACATGTTAGAGAGTGAATCAGTTGACTATAAAGAGATGCAAAAATGTCTGGGGGGATTGGAACGGTCAACAGTACCAAGATAGATAACTGACTCTCGAACAGACAGAAACAGCTCTAAATATCTTCAAAGGGAAGCAATGGAAAAACCTGAAGAGACATTCCAAAAGACTGACATTAGATCCAAAATGGAACTGTGTCTTTAATAATGTTGACCTGTTCTGACAGTTTGCAGTTTAGACCTGCTGCTTCTACCTCAACAAGACGCAAACAGTCCTGACTGTGAACTAACTGTGTCACCAGGAGATTGCTCACAGGGGCCAGAAAAATCTTAGAAAGGAAAGAGAGCAGCGATAGAACATGCATTTAGAACAAAGAATAAAAAGCATGTTGTGTCATTGCAGATAGGATCTTAAAAAAGAAGACATTTAATATTTATAAAAGTCATCTAGACATTTGCAACATTTCTGGGCAACCATTATAAGAGGACGTCCGTGGGGACACATTTCTCTCTGTGTTTTAGCTTTGGATTGTCTGTATTTTGAAAAAGAGGAGTGGGAGGAGAGGGAGGGAATAAAGTTCCTATAGAGACAGAAGGCTTTGATAGCATATTCCTCAAAATCACAACTCATTTGGTTTGAGGGGATTCAAGGAATAGCAGCACCGTACTGGAGCGCCAGCTAGTCCAGACCAAACATAACCTCACATCACATTTAGCTGGGAATCTGAGGACAACAAAGAACAAAAATTAAATCTGTATTTTGGTTTCCAAGAGTCAGTGGCAGTTCTTCAATGTATGACTCTGGGTGAGCCTCTCCTTCTGAATAGTCTGCCAGCAAAACATGACATTAGAATAAACAAATATAGATTTATCTAATGTTAATGTGAGACGGGCAGAATGGAGTCAATGACTTTACATATTGGGCAATAAAAAAAAGCTGTTGGGGCACACCCGGCAGCTGACTTTTTTAAATGTTCGGAGAGCTTGTGGCTATTGGCAAGCTAAGGAACCCTGGGTGATCTGCTTTGTGTCATTAAATTCTTTGTTAAATGTTAATAATTATTCTTTGGAAGTCTACAAATATCGTATAATGTTCAAAGGGCAGAGCCTGATTGTTTGGAGCTATGTTTTTTGTCTCAGATCTCTTTAATCTGAGTTGATATCGATCAGACTATTAAAAACTGGAGCTTCCCTTCCACCTCTTAGAGCTTCTTCTGATCCATAAATGCATGTAGATCTATTATCTATCTGTTCAGGGTATATAGGAGAAAGTGGAAGTGTTAAGTGGAAGCTAACATGGCAAAGAACGTAAAAATGTGTGGTTTATCTTAAATTATTTGATCCAATTTAAACTATTTTTGATTACATAAATTTTATATTAAGAAAGAGCATCCCCTTGGATACGTTTCAACTGGCAACAAGTTATTTAACCTCAATCAAAGATTAAAATATTTATTTATTTATTTTTTATTAAAAGAAAATTACATTTTATGAATTTAGCAGAATACTATGCATCATAGCAGATTATGGTTAGGAGATTATGGTTAGCCATAATCTACTAAAAAGCATATTTGTCTTTAGAGCTTCCAAAACTGAATTTGAAGGTCTTTTAACCAAAAATAGAAGAGGTGAAAGCACAGTAGTAAAGCTCAGTGCAGCTAAATATATGAGTTCGTCTAGACCAGGGGTGTCAAACTCCAGTCCTCGAGGACCGGTGTCCTGCAACTTTTAGATGTGCCTCTGCTGCACCACACCTGAATAGAATAATTAGGTCATTAGCAAGGCTCTGGAGAACTTATCTTCACAAAGAGGAGGTAATTAAGCCATTTCATTCCAGCGTTTTTTTGTACCTGTGGCACATCGAAAAATTCCAGGATAGTGGCCCTCGAGGACTGGAGTTTGACACACCTGGTCTAGATGGAGCCTATGAGTCTAAAGATGAACTCTTAACATCTGAAAAAAAAAATCAGATATTAAAAGGCATTAATCATGATGAAAACATTCACATTCAGCAGAATGTCCACAACCAGTAGTGTGTCTATAAAAAAAGCAACCACCTTCATTTCACCAAGTAAATAAAAAAGTAAATAGGAAACAACCTCCCATTGGATAAAAACTTCATGGATGGTTGATTCAACTGGCAACAAGTTATTTAACCCCAACTTCTCATTGGAAAGACCAATTCTGTGCTGTGGAGAAGATGTTAGTCTGTTTAAGGAGGGTCAACTTATCGGAACGCTTTAATCAAAGGAGATAATCTGAGGAGATTTCAAGTAATAAATTGTGTTCACAAATTGGGTTCATAATATGAATACCTGGAGGGAAAGTGAGGAACCATCATCTTCCCAGAAAAAACATATGACCAGCAATGAATCCTGGGTGATCAGAATCAGTGATCACTTAAATGTTTTTATAAGATCTCATCACGAAAAAAAAAAAAAAAAAAAAAAACTTAATAATAATAGTAAGAGCATGTCAGTAACTCATATGGAGGAGAACTTAAGTTAATGGGACTAAACATTACGAATTAAG